GGCTTCCGGCGGGGAAGGGGCGGGAGTCTGCAGCGCCAGCCGGGTTGGGGACCCCCAGGTGGACCGTCGGTGCTTCCTGGAATAGACCTGGTTTATGGCAGAGGAAATGGGCCGTTTCTTGTTGTGCTTAGTGCGGGAGCATAAATCAGGGCTCGTTAGCTGTGGGAGTTCAGAGAGGCCGGACACCGAAGGCCACAGGGGCTCGCCGACATGGGGCTCTCCTGTGGGAGGGCCACCTTCCTGCCTCGAGCCCTCGGCCCATGGTAGTCAGCGTGTCAACACCTGCACCTGGCACCAGAGGGTTNCCCAGGTCTGATGAGGAGGGGGTTAGGCAGAGTGTGCCCGCCCTCCCCGGGTGCCCACCAGAGCCTCCATAAAATGCAGACGCGGGGCCTGGGATGCTTGTTTCTAGAGAGCTCCTGGCAATGCCAGTGCTGCTGGCCTGTGGACCGCAGGGTGATGACAGCTCCAGAAAGGGCGCAAATAATTTTAAATTTCATGTGGACGAGTGTGCAGAAGGCCAGGGGGAGCCTCAGGAGTAGGGGGTGGGCTGCAGACTCAGACTGCAGCATTTCAGAACGCTCCCCCAAGTGACCAAACTCCACTTGTTCTGGAAATTGGGAGAAGGTCCAGCCCAGCCTGAGTGAGATGTGAGGGTAGACTTTTATTCGGGCAGTAATTACATTTCTGAATAAAGTGCCCAGCAGCCTCACCTGATTTTTGGAACATATTGGGCTGTAACTGGACCATGCTGAGCACCTTTCAGCAGCGCCACGGCCCTCACCCACTTGTTCTCTGTCTGGGTCTGGCCCCCCGAGACTGGGGTGGAGTCGGCGTGGAGCACTCCCGCGGTCGCACTATCAGTGGGGAAGTGGGGGTGTTGGGGTGCTGCTTTGGAGGCAGAGCTCTGTGGTCTCCCCGACAAATGTAAGCAGGCCAAGTCCGCAGAAGTGAAGCCACCTGGATGCGGTAACCCTCTCAAGGACCAGCCTGCCTTGGGTGAGAAGTTCTGCGTGACTTGCCCGTTTGGAAAGAAGAAAATGCTGGTGCTTTAGGTGCCGCACATAACATACTAGTTTATATTCTACTCAAGGTCAGAACAAGTGGCAAGGCCACATCTTGCCGAGTGGACAGGGCCCTTTGAAGGGGAGTTGCTAATCACTTCACCTTAGCGCTGGTTTGCAAATCTGAGAAAAGAGGGAAAGAAACCTCAGGTGCTTCCCTGCCCTCCTTCCCCGGAGACACCGGGGCCAGCTCCTGGCCCGGATCCCCCACCCCATCTGTCCTCTCAGAAGCTGGGGAGGAGCCCCTCTCATAATTCTTGTGTGCTGATGAGGACAATGAGTATGGAGTTAGACACCCCAGTGGGGTCCCAAGATCAGCACCTGCCAGCTGGGATGTGAACGTCTGTCTGTCTGTACCTCTGAGCTCTTCATCCCCAAATGAAGACCAGGATAGACTGGGGTGGGGGTGAGGACGGGGGAGGCACAAGGAAACTGTGCTGTCCTTGAGGGAGGGGGTGACTGACCTCAGGGACCTTGGGGAAGGGTGGGCATCCTGGGGGTTGTCCAGGATTGGAGGGAAGGGTGGGCATTTCGGGGGCTGTTTGGGGTTTGGGGGAAGGGTGAGTGTCTCGGGGTCTGTCCACAGTTGCAGGGTAGGGTGGCTGATTCTGGTGAGCACCCGTGGGGTTCAGTCTGTTCCACACCAAGGGGCCGTGGGTGGGCTCCAGGAGGGTGGAGTGGCCAGGTGTGCATGGCCGGGTTGACTTAGGTGCATGCAGGGGCCCTCGACCAAGCCCTTTAGGGGACAATGGGGGGGGGGGTCTTTCCTCAAAGCACAAGTCAGTGTTGTGCAGATCAACAGTGCAGAGAGGAACTGCGGGGACCCTGGGGACTTGGTTGTGAAGGGACCTGGTGGGAAGCTGGGCTTTGTCCCAAGACTGGGCAGAAGCCCTGAGGGGTTTGGGCAGGAGGGAGACGAGAGGTTTCTGGGGAGCAGAGCTGGGGTGGGGTAGGCTCAGCCCGACGTTCTGGTGCCCCCATCCCTGGCTGACCTGGGTGGCCTGGGTCCCAGCTCCTCCTGCCCCCACCGTAGGACCACAGGTCTGCACCAGGACAGCACAGTCCAGGCTGGACATCTGGCTAGAACCATGGGTGAGAGTTGGGGAAACAGAAAACGTAAGGAAAGCCGTGGCTGACCTGTCTGTTCTTCTTGGCAGTCGTGCAGGAGAAGTGCTTGCGGCAGCCGGCGGCTGGGGCCCCCTCACCTGGTGACGCTCGTGCACTCAGCGGGTCCACCGTGCTGGAGGGAAGGCTGCTGCTGGAGGTGAGTGTTGCATGCCTGGATCACGCAGCATCATGCGTGTCCAGACTCTCACCTGTTGATAATGAACAAGAAGCCATAAGGGTCAAACTGTGTTCAAGAGCGTGCTCCAAGACCGTCCCAGGAGATGGCATTAGGTGGCATCGCAGGAGCCCGTGTCAGCGCCTCGGTGTGAGGTCCCAGGTTGGAACAGAGAGAACCGCCAGCCGCACGGCTCCATGTGCTACAGTCCAACAATCCTCCTCGTCCTGTGTTCCCTGGCTCACTTGTCAATGAGAGAAAACCTAATTACA